CCAGGCATGTCCCCCATAGAACACCTCTGGGATGGCATGGATCGTCGTGTTCAACAGCGACCACATCCTCCAGCCAAACGACAAGAACTGATTCAAGTCTTCCAAGAAGAATGGCGACGTATCCCACGTGACGTCATCAGATGACTGACATTTTCGGTGAACCGGAGAGTTTTTGCGTGTCTTGTAGGAGGGTATGGTCATACGAACTATTAATGTGACGTGTCATTTAACTTGAGCGATTTTAGATGCGTGTGCCCTTGTTCCATAACGTTGAAAGCTTGTTTTTGCTATCGTTTTAAATGTTGATTTCGTTTGATCTTTTCAATACATTTTACTTCAAGCATCTATCTTTTGGTGTTTTCTAAACTGGAGTGATCTAAACAATGGTAAAGTTTTTTTTGGCCGTCAGTTCAGTAGTAAACCTCATCGACCGGCCAAGTATCTAGGGAGAAACAGAGAAGAAGATGACGAAGCAGCAGAAACAAGAGACTCCCTGCGAGCTCCCCTGAGATACCAACATCGTTACACTTGAATCGATATGGACATTAAACATTATGAGTTATTAGAGAACCTATTGTCTCACTGTAATACACTGACACACCTGAATTGGAAACACGCTAATCACAAATCGACAACAAGAGGGACTTTTTACACAGACGATGTCAGTAAGATATAGGTATAGATGATTGTAACAAAATATTGCACAAGACGATTACACATGAATATATGTTAACGAGGATTTCTTTTGTTAATTTAAAACAAATTGAAAATGTACGTATTATTGCCTGTTAAGAAGAGTAACACTTTATTTGTGATAGTGCAGGACCAGGAAGATATCCATTCTCTGTTTTGTATATTTGTTAAAATTCTTGTTGGAACCTTTTATTGAGTATGTTCAAAAATATACCATGGATTCTTTGCTCTGTTGTACATATCTACTTACGTTAGTGAATGGTTCTCTTGTGTAAAATATATGTTAAATGTTATAGGAATAACTATGGCTAAGTATAGGTTAAGCCTACTCTATAATGAAACTTTAATTTAAATTGGCAAACTATTTGAAATTCGTACCATTAAAATACCAATATATGAAAGGTAATATTTATGTAATATTGATTATATTGGTGATGAATCCCAGGATATTGTTAAACGTAAATATTTCTATGGAGAGACAATTGTATACAACAAAATGCTATCTAGAAAAAACAAAACATGTTTGTATTCCAAGACCTTTTTAAGTGTTCCAAACTGTCAGTGTTAAAAATATGTTACATCTTCCGATACTCCCCCATCACACATTGTATAAACTACCGTCTCAAAGAACATGGGAGTCGCAGTTTCACAGAACCATTTCCAATTATATACTTTCTTTCATTAAATCATACATATTTCTACGGTATTAAGTCATATATAACGCTTGAAGCATTTCGTACAAACTCACCCAATGGGTACCTGCACGCCAAACAGACCGCCTCCGTGGTCTAGTGGTAGAGCGTCTGCCCGGAGAGCGGAAGGTCCGGGGTCGATCCCCGACCGCGTCATACAAAAAGACGTTAAAAGATGGTACTTGTTGTTACCCTGTCTGGCGCTTGGCATTAAGGGGCTAAAACAAGGACTGGTCGGCTCGGAGTCAGTTTACTGTGTCTGAGTGGGGTATTCATGTTAAACTGCGGCATGGTTTCTCAGTGAGCTAGCACTATAAATCGGCATCAGTCCGGACTAGTACAAGCAGCCACACAAAACACACACAAGTACATGCACGTCGCTATATAAGTGCAATAATCTTGGACGCGACGTTAAACCCCATTTGACCTCACCTCACCTCACCTGCACGCCAAACTAGTTTTGACATGACAAACATTTATAAAAAATACTGCACGCAGCACAGACTAATTGTTTTCATGTGTCTTAGGGTTCAACTTATATGATTGCTACGCAGCAAAAGTAAATAATTCGGGTTAGGGTTAGGGTTAGGGTTAGGGTTAGGGTTAGGGTTAGGATTATATATAGCCAAAAAACGCCCGGGATTTTCATATGACGATAGCTAATATGTCATGGCTGGTAGGTATAACAACACATAACCTTCCACTTGTGGGTGTCCATGAACTTGTTTTGAATAGTATGTTATGCATATGTAAGAAATAAACGACGAGTGGGATTTGTTTATCGTACAACCAAACACTGTAGGGATAGTAACTCATTCATTTTTCTTTGCGATTCAACGCGAAGCTATCTTATATCATCATTGTAGGATTGACCGGAAGGGGCGGTCGGGTAGCGTAGTGGTTAAAGCGTTCGCTCGTCACGCCGAAGACCCGGGTTCGATTCCCGACATGGGTGCAATGTGTAAAGCCCATTTCTGGTGTCTCCCGCTGTGATATTGCTGTATGACATCCGGATACTCCATTGTGCCACCTAGCGTGAATGGTTCAACCACCAATGCAATCCCTTACCAACTGGTGATAATCAGATATAAGTGTCCACATCGGTATGTGGTCGTTTGTACATTTCACAAAAAGGAATTACATGGATTAATAATACCATCGAATAACATTCTTCAAAGCTGACGACCGCCTCCGTGGTCTATTGGTAGAGCGTTCGCCCGAAGAGCGGAAGGTCCGGGGTTCGATCCCCGACCGCGTCATACCAAAAGACGTTAAAAGATGGTACTTGTTGTTACCCTGTCTGGCTCTCGGCATTAAGGGGCTAAAACAAGGACTGGTCGGCTCGGAGTCAGTATACTGTGTCTGAGTGGGGTATTCATGTTAAACTGCAGCATGGTATCTCAGTGAGCTAGCACTATAAATCGGCATCAGTCCGGACTAGTGCAAGCAGCCACACAAACACACACACGTACATGCACGTCGCTATATAAGTGCAATAATCTTGGACGCGACGTTAAACCCCATTTCACCTCACCTTCAAAGCTGATGAGTGAGTTGGTTAACACCTGGTGTCATCCATATTAGATCATAAACACATTATATAGTCAGCATTGTGCAATGCAAATGATTACGGTAATATTTGTGTCGCATTTGTATAATATGTGTCCAAATAGATAATAGCATTTCCTAACATATTTGTAGAGAATCAAAGTATCTGGCTTGACATGATGTGGTACAGGAAGTACCTCCTTTTTCTAAATGGCAAACTGTTGCTTAATATACAATATCCCGATCCGGTTAAACCTGTTAAATGCAGAATATATCCTGCTCCTGTCAAACCATGACACTATGCACAATACTACTTTAATATAAAAATAATTACTTTTCTACAGTAAAACATCGGTACATCGAAGAACATAGTGTTTGATTGTTTGTGTGTTGTTTAACGCAGCACTCAGCAATATTCCAGATATATGGTGGCGGTCTTTAAATAATCGAGTCTGGACCAGACAGTCCAGAAATTGACATCATGAGCATCGATCCATGCAATTGGGATGCGTTGACATGCATCAACCAAGTCAGCGAGCCTGATCACCCGATCCCGTTAGTCGCTTCTTACGACAAGCATAGTCGCCTTCTACGGTAAGCATGGGTTGCTGAAGAACTATTCTACCCCGGATCATCACGGGTCCGAAGAACATAATGAGTGGTAACATAAGCTGAATGAGTTGGAGTTGACGGGGCTCATTAAACTATACTCTGCTTCTATAATAAATCTCTGAACAGCATAATATTTCTCTGAAGGGTAAAATGATCGTTGGTAATAAATTTCCGATTCTCAATGCAGACTGTATGGTTATCATTTTCATTGTTGTGAAAATACAACATGACGTCATTCATTGTTCATGACGTCACAAATTGATTACATGACGTCATCTGAATAATAGGCTGCCTTATTTGTTTATTTGGAGGGTTGACACTTCATACGTTTTTTCTTCATTTTCTCTCTTAAAATGCCAATTAGGAGAGACACATACTGTGTTTTCAATGTAGAGGTAGAGAACCTCTAGATTGAACCCCGCTAAATTGAATTTGTAACTGAACGCGCAGTCTGCCATGATTAAATGCAACGTGAACTCTTTGGTGTTTGCAAATATACTGAGTGAAGCGGCATGGGTTGAGTCCAGTGTTTTGAATGGGTTGTCGATCTGAATTACGGAAGCAGCGACATCAGTCGTTATGGCGCTGTAAATACTCAAAAAGTTTTATTGTTGCTCGAAAATATGACAGGCATTGAAAGCATATAAGCTCGGCAACTTCGTCAGCCATTATGAGGTGGGCACGCCTAAAGAAATCTGAACAAGCTTTGCAAGCTTTCGTTCTACACCGCGCGTCACAATTATGACGTCATATCGCTAATTGTGACGCAAAAGATATGACGTCACAGTCGTATATACAGAAGAGCCAAATTCCAAGCTCTCTGTTGTCCCCAAAACTTAAAATAAATTCTCTTTAAAGATTTCTACCGTGTTTTCTGCACGAAAGCTATTGCCACACATGTTTTGAATAGTGAAGTAACCGCAACTTTGCATTTTGTAACCTGTAATTGTAAATATAATTATTTACATATGCCTTCCGACAATGACCATCTGTTTCAATCAGAAGGGGTTTATTATGATTTAATAGCCTCTTATTGGTCAATCAGAATCGAGTAATTTCCAAATTCATGGTAGAATGAGTAATAAATAAATCTACTCGAAACACGGAACTACGGAATATCTGTCCCTCATTAATGAATGCTGTTAGTCACTTCGGATTAACACAGTTCCGGATTAAAAATGCTTGTGCAAGATAATCCAAAAGTCCTAGTAGATCGTTGATTATTCTCTAAATGTGACCATACCCGTGCTCGTGTGTTTTACCGTAGTGTTTAACGCTTGATACCTGCATCACTTCGGGCTTTCCTCCCATATGAAGCTGACACGCCGTGATGTAACTGGAATACAGTTCAAAGCGGCCTTAAACTTAACTCACTCACTCTAAATGTAGCCTTTTCCCATGTTAACTTTCAGAACATATTCCAGCTCATGTAAAACCGTAATTTCTCTGTTCCAGATCTGGAGCACCTTCTACATGTTCCTTGTGTTCATCTCAGTGAGCCTTTTCTGCGCGCAGTCACACCCTACGTTCCGAGTGGCCAGGGCCGACGTCAGCCACACCATGCGCAACATCACCAACCCCAAGATCCGCATGTACCACGAGACCAACATGCGCCCTGAGTTGTACTGGCTTGATGTGGCCTGTGTGGTCGTGTTCACTGTGGAGATTCTTCTCTATCTCCTCTGTGTCCCGGACAAAGGCAGGTTCTACAAGAGCTTCACGAACGTCATCAATTTCATCCTTGTCTTGGTTGCATGGGCTGCATTTGCAATGGAGATGACGATGGGGGATGAGCTTCTTGACGGGAAGGGCGTCACCTATTGGACATACGGGACGCTGAAGCTTCTTCTCGTTCTCAGGATACTCCGGTTCTTTCGCCTGTCACAGCGGTACTCGTCCCTCAATGTCATCGTGCTTGCCATGAAGGCAAGTCTTAACGAGCTAATTCTGATGGTGATGTCGTTTTTCCTGACGGCCACCATCTACGGCTGCGTCATCTACGTCGTGGAGATACACAGCAACTCCTTCCACGACATCCCAGTTTCAATATGGTGGGCTATTGTTACCATGACGACCGTTGGATACGGTGACTTTTACCCCTTGTCTGGGCTTGGGCGCACCATAGGGACGTTCTGTGCTATATGTGGTCTGGTTGTGTTGTCAATGCCCATTGCTATTATTGCCGCCAATTTCAACAACTTTCAGTCTCGGAACGAGGAACGACAGCAACGTCGACGGGGAAACCAAAACACCCCCCTGAAGAAGATAGGATGGATGGCAAACGTCCCTATAATCCACCAGTACACGTCCAATCCAATGGACCCGAACTCTCTCTCAACAAAGGCCAAGATTAAAATGATTACAACGAAACCGCAGAATCGGAACAATTAAGTAAGTCTTGGATCCGACCGACAAACACAACACCCTACTTTGATGTCTGACGCAATTCTTTATTTGGACTTGTATCAAATGTTCCCGCATGTATTCAGGTGAACAACTGACTTGCTTTTGCATGCGCTTGACGAAAGCCACTGGTGGGGCAAGATACGCTCACAAATTCACGAATACATGCTATCATCACTATTTGATATTTATTCATAAACACATGCTCATAATATAAATAAGAATAGGATAATGGACTGTTACAGATGTCTCGATCTTATGACTATGGAGACCGCCTCCGTGGTCTAGTGGTAGAGCGTCCGCCCGGAGAGCGGAAGTCCGGGGTTCGATCCCCGGCCGCGTCATACCAAAAGACGTTAAAAGATGGTACTTGTTGTTACCCTGTCGGGCGCTCGGCATTGAGGGGCTAAAACAAGGACTGTTCGGCTCGGAGTCAGTATACTGTGTCTGAGTTGGGTATTCATGTTAAACTGCAGCATGGTATCTCAGTGAGCTAGCACTATAAATCGGCATCAGTCCGGACTAGTACAAGCAGCCACACAAACGCACATACGACTCCTGCTCAGAGGTTGTTTGATCGAGGTTAAAGCATTCAAGGCCTCACTAAAACTTTTATGGTGGACATGTGGAGGCCATTTCCTAATGGACAAAAATGATGTCCGTTGCAATTACATATTTTGACTTGTACCATACGTTCTCGTGTTGTTTAGGTGAACAATTGACTTGCCGTTGCATGGGTTTTCTGACAGGTGACACCGGTGCGACAGGATGCGCTCACCTTTTCGCGAACACCCGATGTCTTCACTATTTGATATTGATTCATAGACACATAAAGTGGGAATCGGACAATGGACTATTAGAGATCTAATGATTATGGACTGCGTTTTGACGCTTTCATTGACGTGCTCATGTGGATAGATATCATCTGCATGGTCTTTCAGGCTTGCCAGGGTCTCAGGTTCGCTCTCGGGTCTTACACTAGTATTACACGTCATATCATTCCTGGTGTGATGAGTAGACACGTGCCAGTGCGTTTAACTGCATCCCGTTCTATTATTCATAATCTCAAACACTAGTAGCAAGTAAGGTAGAAGTTCACTCGGTATATATGTTTATAAACTTTGTGCATGCAGCGCTATCTTAGTGGGCCAGCACTATTATACTGAGACACCATGCCGCTTGGATACCCCACCTAGACACAGTATACTGACTCCGAGCCGACAGTCCTTGTTTTAGGCTCTTAATGCCGAGCACCAGGCACGGTAACAACAAGTACCATCTTTTGACGTCTTTATGTATGATGCGGCAGGGGATCGAACCCGCGACCACAAATTTTGGTTCGTTATAACCGTAGTTCGTTATAAGCATATATACAACAAATGGCCGGGACTAAAAAATAAGTTCGTTATATCGGTCAGCTCGTATAAACGTGTTCGTTATAGCCGTAGTTTACTATAATTTAATTTTTAAATGATATTCCTCTGATAGCGGTTGACGGCAGATACGAGTGGGGAAGGATATGGTAATCATTTCACAAACGATATTTGATCGTGATTCATAAACTCATGCTTATGAAATAATCGGAATCGTACAATGGACAAGATTTCTTATGATTATGGATTATGTCGCTTTTATCGTAAAACAAACACAACGCATAGTTTTATATTTTCGCTAAACCTTGGTTGCAGATCCAGCTGCATGGTCAATGTTCATTTGAATAGACGATTAAGTCGCGTTCTAAAATCTCGAAATCATTTTTGTATGTTGAAAATGTCTAACATTTCAGTATGGGGTGCAGTGGACGGCTAGTGGATCGTTTGCAATTTGCACCAGAATTTGAAATGACTTCTGGCTACTGTGGTCTTTCTGATCGACCATCACATTTATGGATACAGTGGAGAATACAGTCTGCCGTAGGATACCCAACAGCAAAGGTTTCAAAGACATTTTCAGCAATGACTCGGCTGTCGCACGCAGTGTCGTGTCCACATTCGGTTTTTAATATGTTTGGCAGCTGCAAACGTCATCCGGCGACTTGAATCGCCTTCAGCAAGTACAACGAACTTTTGATAGTTGATAATAGACACGTTAACGTTATTGTACGTTGGAATATACAAGTTCAACTGCTGTCATGTGTGTGGAAACTGGTACTGTGTAAATAATGACATATTCTGACAAGTGTTTGTTGGAGGGAGAATCTCTCATGTTGATGCAATTGTCAGTATCCCTGCTGTGATATTGTTTGGCTATTTCCGCTTGTCATTCAAACATTGAAGTGATATGTATTTCTATATATCTTGATATTTGTTGAGCATTTTCTGATGTAGTTTGGACACCCTTCTGTATGATTGTAGATTGCAGATTGCGATAACAACAGTAATAATAATAATAATAATAATAATAATAATAAAAATAATAATAATTAGTAATGACGATACTAATAATTCACGTTTATCATTTTAATCTTTACTTTCTAGCATGTATATTGCATTGCGCTTACAACACATTGCGCGTGCTCTCACCGAGTACAGTTTATCCGTCACATGTACATAACATCTATCCGTCTGAAAGATATATCCGCCGAAACTGATTCAATCACAATTTTACTCTTGGAATTCCTTATTTGTGTTGTAAACCTGGATATATATGTCAGGTATCGGGTATATTAAGGTTATAGGTCAGATATCGGGTATATCAAGGTTATGTCAGGTATCGGGTATATTAAGGTTATATGTCAGATCTCGGGTTTATCCAGGTTATATGTCAGATATCGGGTATATCCAGGTTATATGTCAGGTATCGGGTATATCCAGGTTATATGTCAGATATCGGGTATATCAAGGTTATATGTAAGGTATCGGGTATATCCAGGTTATATGTCAGGTATCGTGTACATCCAGGTTATATGTCAGATATCGGGTATATCAAAGTTATATGTCAGATATCGGGTATATCAAGGTTATATGTAAGTTGTCGGGTATATCCAGGTTAAATGTAAGTTGTCGGGTATATCCAGGTTATATGTCAGATATCAGGTATATCCAGGTTATATGTAAGTTGTCGGGTATATCCAGGTTATATGTCAGGTAGCAGGCATATCCAGGTTATATGTCAGGTATCGGGTATATCAAGGTTATATGTCAGGTATTGGGTATATCAAGGTTATATGTCAGGTATCGGGTATATCAAGGTTATATGTCAGGTATCGGGTATATCCAGGTTAAATGTAAGTTGTCGGGTATATCCAGGTTATATGTCAGGTATCGGGTATATCCAGGTTATATGTCAGGTAGCAGGCATATCCAGGTTATATGTCAGGTATCGGGTATATCCAGGTTATATGTCAGGTATTGGGTATATCCAGGTTATATGTCAGGTATCGGGTATATCCAGGTTATATGTCAGGTATTGGGTATATCCAGGTTATATGTCAGGTATTGGGTATATCAAGGTTATATGTCAGGTATCGGGTATATCCAGGTTATATGTCAGATATTGGGTATATCCAGGTTATATGTCAGGTATCGGGGATATCCAGGTTATATGTCAGATATCGGGTATATCCAGGTTATATGTCAGATATCGGGTATATCAAGGTTATATGTAAGGTATCGGGTATATCCAGGTTATATGTCAGGTATCGGGTAGATCCAGGTTATATGTCAGGTAGCAGGCATGTTCAGGTTATATGTCAGGTATCGTGTATATCCAGGTTATATGTCAGGTATCGGGTATATCTAGGTTATATGTCAGGAAATCGGGTATATCAAGGTTATGTCAGGTAGCAGGCATATCCAGGTTATATATCAGGTATCGGGTATATCCAGGTTATATGTCAGGTATCGGGTATATCAAGGTTATATGTCAGGTAGCAGGTACATCCAGGTTATATGTCAGGTATCGGGTATATCCAGGTTATATGTCAGGTATTGGGTATATCAAGGTTATATGTCAGGTATCAGGTACATACAGGTTATATATCAGGTATCGGGTATATCCAGGTTATATGTCAGGTATTGGGTATACCAAGGTTATATGTCAGGTAGCAGGTAGATCCAGGTTATATGTCAGGTATCGGGTATATCCAGGTTATATGTCAGGTATCAGATATAACCAGGTTATATATGTCAGGTATCAGGTATATCCAGGTTGTATGTCAGATATCGGGTATATCAAGGTTATATGTCAGATATCGGGTATATCAAGGTTATATGTCAGGCATCAGGTATATCCAGGTTATATGTCAGGTATCGGGGGTCCAGGTTGTATGTCAGATATCGGGTATATCCAGGCTATATGTCAGGTATCGGGTATATCAAGGTTTTATGTCAGATATCGGGTATATCCAGGTTATATGTCAGGTGTCGGACATATCCAGGTTATATGTAAGTTGTCGGGTATATCCAGGTTATATGTCAGGTATCAGATATATCCAGATTATATGTCAGGTAGCAGGTACATACAGATTATGTGTCAGGTATCAGATATTTCCAGGTTATATGTCAGGTAGCAGATATATCCAGGTTATATATGTTAAGTATCGGGTATATCCAGGTTATATGTCAGGTATCGGGTATATCCAGGTGGTATTCCAGGTATATACATCGAACACAACGAATACAATGAAAGCACATTTCAACTATCCTCATATCGGAGTTATACAGTACTTAACCAAATCATACCACAACTATAGGCGATGGCCTTACATGTCCAGTGTATTAATACTGAACGCTGTTAGAAGATGTTCTGCAAGTGTAGATGAAAGTGGGTCAATGTGACACAAAAGCACTATATTTTCCGCACACTACGCGCGTCATATACAGCATTGGCTTGCTGCGTGTTAACCAGTTATGACACACAAATAACACGTTAAAACGTTGTTGTCCTTTTAAGATGTATTTTTGAATAAACAATCTGAAACACTAACAACTGGATTTTTTGTCTGGATGTTTAGTAACAGAGAGGAGGGCCTGCACTAGTGAATATTGGAGTGAGTGAGTGAGTTGGGTTTAACGCCGCTTTTAACAGTATTCCAGTTATATCATGGCGTGACAGCTTAATGTGGGAGGAAAGCCAGAAGTGATGCAGGTCTCGGACGTTTACCGCTTCGGTGAAACCCACGAGCACGGGTATGGTGCTGACAAACCTTGAAACATAATCGTGGCGAACCGGGATTCGAACCCACAATCATAGGTTTCTGGCGTGTCCAAGGGACGCAACTCTGTAAAGCGAATCGAGGCGCCTTAGACAACTGGGCCACCCGTGCCCCCTGTTGAATATTGGAGGCCCTTAGTGGTATGTTTAAGTAATCCCCAAGAAGAGGAGAAACTGAATACTCCCAAGGGAGCTGAGAATGTCATTCGAGTGAACACTGATCTATTGACAGGGGTAATACTTGCGTTAGAGCTTTGAACATGCACTACTGTATAAACTCTGTCATTATAATTATTATATTCATCTACAGATTAATTTTTTTAAAAATGCAGCAAAGAGGGTTTGGGTGATCCTGGCACAGTCAGGCTGGTTAGGCTCATCATCACCTCAGGGCCCTCGTCCCCTCTACACGTAGCCCAGACAGTAAAACAGTGTAGTGCATCAAGTACGTCACAATAATATCTTCTTAAGACACTGCAAGAGAAGAACATATGTCACTACTTCCAGTAGAGAGAAGATTCACCGACATGTCAAGTAAAATTGTCACACAGCTATAGGCAAGCACATTCCCAAACAATGCATATACAGTAAACTACGGTTATAACTAACACGTTTATAACGAACTGACGGATATAACGTACTACTTTTTTGGTCCCGACTATTTGCTGTAGTTATGCTTTATATATGCTTATAACGAACTACGGTTAAAACGAACTAAAATAAGTAGTCCCTTTGAGTTCGTTATAACCGTACTTTACTGTACACGTTGCTCTGTCGTGATGAGGATCAACTTTCCTGCTACACAGAACTTCCATCAACTACATCATGGAATTGTAAGTCTACCGTCTTGGTGTGCTGGCTTCTGATTGGCTTTTACAGTTCAAGGGCAGGCATAATCGAATTAAGTCCATGACGCATTTTAGGTCAGCTGTCCAAACCCACATTAATGGGGTGACAAATGTCCTGATGTACAGTATTCCTGTAGTGAGTGAGTGCGTATGGTTATACGCCGCTTTAAGCAATATTCCAGCAATATCACGGCTAGGGACACCAGAAATGGGCTTCACACATTGTACCCATGTCGGGAATCAAACCCGGTTCTTCGGCGTGACGAGCGAACGCTTTAACCACTAGGCTACCGACCGCCCCTTATTCGTATAGATAACCGCATGGGGGGGGGGGGGGGGGGGGGGGGGGGGGGGGGGGGGGGGGGGGGGGGGGGGGGGGGGGGGTGTTAGAGCTGAAGGAGTCGTTGTCGGCACAGATAGGTATCCAAGGTACGTTTCATTATACAGAAATAAAGATACAGAAAACAGATATTTGTTTTTAAACCAATGAGCTAGAATATAGAAAATAGCATAAAATCAAAACCTTGCAAGAACGTAATTTTTGTGGCAGACAGTTTCTTTTTTTGTTTGCAACAATCTGAAGCCTTATTATTATTTTAAAGAGCTTTCTGGAACAATTTATTTGTTTTCGATAAAATCAAATCAAATGATATTATGATGAACGATCACCGGCGTTGGGGCTTGACACGATACCAAAATCGTCACGGCTATAACCATTGCCCACCCGATCCATTGAGGTATCTCTTACGACCAGCATAGGTTGCTTGCGAACAGTCTTAGCCATCAAACCGTAAACATTCTGAATTCTGTATCTTGCAAGTTTTCTGAAGATCAACGAACATATTCTAAAGGACTACACGGTTTCCTAAAGGAATAATTAAGTGAGAAAATGAGAAAATATATTGACGTATTGTATTTACTCATTCAAGAGTTGTACACTGATGTTTTCTTTCTTCAAGGAAATGTGAAAATAAAGAAAATAATGAATATACACACATCTTACAGTCAGTCACAATCATCTCATGAGCACTTACATCTATTGGTACGGCATATGACGACTGCATAATAAAGCATTGATAAAGCATTGATAAAGCATTGTCTAGCCCAAATTGGCGAATGTGTGACTGCTTCTCCAAGTGAGATGCGTTTGTCATTGTTGATGTCAACAAGAGGTTTCTGAGGGCAATTGTCAATTGTTTTCTGGAGTAAGTACAATTTAGGATACCCTTTTTTAAAGCAATAGTGTACTTATCATTGTTATGTCTGGAGTATACACTAGAATGACGCGTGGAGCAATACAATTTAACATACACGATCTGCGTTTGGGAGACTCTTAGATGGTATTATTGATTGAAAGTAAAAGGACTTTTCTCTGCTTCTGCAGAGATGTGAATTGTTACTAAGAATAATACATTGCAGGATGCATTGTCTATCCAAGCCAGCAACCAATCTGTTTGGATCAATGTGCCCACTGAAGTGATTAAGTATATGGAAAAGAATATGTTTCTGTTTTTTCAAGGCTGTGTCATTTTTTCTGCGACTCTTGGATCAGTTCAGTGCTTGGTATTGAATGAATGCCTTTGAGTCTAGAAAGAATTGTAAGGACATATTTCGATTATTTGTAAGAGTCATGCGGTGGTAGGGCATACGACGCGGGTCACGGACCCTTGCGACTTTGTTTCCATGACAACCGACACAGATAAAGAAGGTGGGCGTCTCAGACAGAATCTCTGAGGAATATGTCTTCCAGACCATTCCTGTATATCTTTAGCAACCCATGCTTGTCTTAATAGACGACTATGCTTGTCGTAAGGGGCGACTAACGGGATCGGGTGGTCAGGCCCGCTGACATAGTTTATGCATGACATCGTATCAAAATTGTGTAGCTAGATCTCTGGATTGTCTTGTCCAGACTCGATTATTTACCGACCGCCGCCATATAGCTGCAATATTTCAGCGTTAAGCAACAAACAAACAAAAACCCATTGCGTTTTTCCCTGTAGTCAATATGTCGGAATAATATCTAAAACGTTTTTGTATACAAGTATCTTTTGAACACATTATAATAAAAACTTTCAAATTTCTAACTTTGTTAAAGACGAACGAAAATAAACCACAGATGAACAATTAACGAGCAAAAACTATGCATCCTCGAGCGTGTTCACTGTATGACCACAAGTTGCATTTGCATTTTCGGAAAGGGACGAGGTTGGCCGATTGTGTTTGTACAAATACACAAACAGTTCAACCTCAAAATTCCGGACCCCGTTTGTTTGGATCCTTGGAGACCGCCTCCGTGGTCTAGTGGTAGAGCGTCCGCCCGGAGAGCGGAAGGTCCGGGGTTTGACCGCGTCATACCAAAAGACGTTAAAAGATGGTACTTGTTGTTACCCTGTCTAGCGCTCGGCATTGAGGGGCTAAAACAAGGACTGGTCGGCTCGGAGTCAGTATACTGTGTCTGAGTCGGGTATTCATGTTAAACTGCAGCATGGTATCTCAGTGGGCTAGCACTATAAATCGGCATCAGTCCGGACTAGTACAAGCAGCCACACAAACACACACGTACATGCAAGTCGCTATATAAGTGCAATTATATTGGACGCGACGTTAAACCCCATTTCACCTCACCTTGGATCCTCGGAAATATGACAATCCCGACGATTCCAATAGAACTTATAACATGGTCTCACTGTACATGAACAAGGAGCTTATTTACAACGTCGATTGATGTACGTCACGATCGAGCATAAATTCCGTACATTTCCGTTAAACTCCCCCAAATAATCTTTTTAATAAGAGCTGTTCATAAACGTTTAGTTTTGTTCAACCATGGAAGTTGGAGAAGAATCTTCGTGAAATAGTGAAATTTGAAACTATTTAATATTTTATATATTTTTGTCAGTAGATCTACTTTAATATTTTTACACCTTCATCCTTCGTACTGTCGTCTGAAAATAAAAAAATAATTATTTAACTGCAAAACAAAATAAAACAAAAACATGCACACTCATGCGTTAACATTTTCAGGTAAATCAATTTAAAAACAGTCTATCCGGATACAATTCTTTTTGCACTGACTTACGTACGTATGTTTAAATTTACAGCTTCTCTCACGTTCAGAAAAATCAAATTCCAGATTATTCGGTTCGACTATATACAAATATTATCTAAGTTTCGCAAGAACAAATACGTTGAATAAACAATTGCGGAAAGATGAATTTCCCACACATGATGTAGCTTAATTATTCATGGGATTAGCTGAGCAAACTGTATTGTGATAAAAGCCTGCGCTAACTATGGGAACTTAGAAGGGACATTGTCGCATCGTCGCATTGTCGCAGCGTCGCAGTGTCGCCCTTAAAAACAAGCAAAGAGGCCAACATTAACCAAAGCGCGACGCATTGTCGCATTGTCGCGTTTTGAATAATATTTCTTAGTTTACCAAAGGGCGACAATGCGACATTATCAATATGTCAATGCTACATTATCAGTATGTCGCAATGTCGCGTTGTCGCATTGTCGCGCTTTTGTTAATTTTAGCACATTTTGCTTGTTTTTGTAAGCGCGACAATGTCCCTTCTAGGATTCCATAGTTAACAGTGATAATAGACGTAGTAGATAAGCCTTAAGTGTTCCTCGTCACTTGAGGCAAATGGTAGTATCACAGAGGCATGACTGAGATAACGTTTGCAACTTCCTAATGGAATGACTGAGAACATGTGACGAACTGCGAGATAGTGATACTAGAGGTAATATGTTCCACTTGAAGTACAACTGTCACTTTTAAAACTGTTCATGGGTAATGCTGAACAAAGGAGGGGTTAAATTAATAGAGAGTTAATCATTAACACAGAAGAACTGTAGACAACTATATGAAATCAGTGATAGTGTTTAGCGCATTAACGCACCAGCCTAGCATGGTTCCCTGGGTATGCTGCGCTGGCGCTTCACAGTGTTCCAGGATAGACAGTGTTCCGGTATAGACAGTGTTCCGGAATAGACAG